AAAACCCCCCCCCCCAGCCGAAAACGCAACGGGCAGCGCTGGCTGCGGGAGCTGAGGCTACAGGTGGTAAAGAAGGGCTATTTATTTTTTCCGCCGGCTTCCCTGGTGGAAAAAAAGTAGGTTTTCACCCAAAAGGCGAAGGTTGGTTTGTCCTTTGCCTGGTCTTTGGCCTCTTCTAGAGGAAGGTGCCCTTGAAACGCATCCGCTCCCTATCCCGCATGGGAGAAATCCCAGCCCCTCCCAGCGTTTTCTCCGTGCGCGTGGTGGGAGTCGGATGTAAATGGGAAACATACTTGAAGGCACCTGCTCGTGCTGCCCGTCCCTGCGCTACCGTCGGCTCTCCCCTTTCCGTCGGTGCCCCCTGAGCCGGATCTGCGCTTTCGGGGTGCCCCGTGCACCCGCTTACGGCCTGTTTACTGTGTCTACGTGAGATCGTCGCTGCCCGCCCGGTCCGCGATCGATAGCCAATAATTCAAAGTCAATTCTAGTTTCTTTAAAAGAAGAACCTAGCTTGCAGAAAAGCATCTCGCAGAGGGGTGGCCGCGGTGCAGGATTTCTGCGTTTCTCAGTCTCTCAGTGCAGGCCAAATCCGATTACCTCGTGGAGCTGGGTAATGGATGGAAACCCAAAGATGTCAGTCGGGCTGCTGCACCTTGAAACACTCAACTGCTCGCCACAATAGCTGATAAAAACGAGCGGCTCGTTTCCTTGCCAAATGCTTTCCTAGGATTATTTTCTGATTTTGCTTTACCTTCGGTTCTGCTTTCTCTGTGTCGCTTCAGGGAGAGCTGGGCTTGCCTGGGCCGCCCGGACTCGACGGTGAAAAGGTACGCGGCGTTTGCTTTGATCCAAGGAAATGTTGCAGGAGAGCGCCCAGCAGCTGGGTTAAAAAGGAGTTAACTACGTGGCCGTGATAGCTGGCAATTTTAAAAGTAAATCTCGGCCTTCACCGAAATCGAGGTTTCTTCCCCGCAGCGTTCAGCTGCACCTCTTTGAATGAATTGCCCTTGGCTTACGGCCTTGCCCTCAGCTGTGAGTATGCAGGACGCTGCTCGTAGCCACGTCTGCCCGGTTAGATGGGCCGCTTTTATGAGTTGTTCGTGAGACGCTGTCTCAAATGCCGTAATAACCCTCCCAAATCCTAAATTGCTGCATTCCTTTCGAGCGAAATTGTGCTGCACCCGCAAAATCAATATTTGCAAGTTTTAATGTTAAAACATGTTTCTGTGAGTCCGCGTTGCAACACGGAGCAAAACAACGGAAAGGCAGAGATGCCTGTTGTTCTTTTGGACGCGCATGTCTAGAACTTCCTCCGAAGGAAGATGTTTTCTGTAAACTTGCAGGGTCCCAAAGGAGCTAAGGGTGACCAAGGAAGCGCAGGCATCATGGGGCAGAAAGGCGAGACGGGAGAAATGGGCTTATCTGGTCCACCGGTATGTCCGTCTTTCTGTCCGTGTGTGTCTGCTGCGTGAATGCTTGGTGGGCGGCCGGGTTTTGTTCGTTGAAGCCACGGCCTCTCCGCGCCGTGTTACTGCGGGACCGGAGGACGCCAAAGCTTTGGATTTTCTTAGTTAATGGTGGTGCCGGTGCCTTATTTCAAAAGGCACGAGGTGAGGCAAGTGTTAAGCCGAAGTCCCCTTGCAGAGCGGTCCCCGGGGCCCGTTTCCCTTCCCGGGAGGTCGCCCCACGCTCCGAGAGGCAGCGGTTGCCCTAAAACAGAAGCTTTTGCTTCTGGGAGAAAATCAAGGCAGCCGTGGGCTGTGCATGCCGGGGTGCGACAGCTGGGGTTTTACTCAGTGTGGAGTAAGGGAGTCCCTGAAAGAAAAAGAGCTAAAAAAAAAAAAAAAAAATTAAAAACCAGAAAAGCTCCTTTTCTTAAACAGCAGTGCCCTTGGGAGCGAACAAGCACTTTGCTTGCGCAAAGACTGTGGTATAGGGGAAGAGAATTGCATTCTTCTGTCTCTTTGCTTTTCTGGAAGATGTGTAACATTAGCGTTAAATTCCTGTCTTTTAGGGAGCTGATGGACCAAAAGGAGAAAAAGGAGAAACGGGATTGCCGTGTTTGCAGAATAATCATGTAAGGTGCTGGCACAGCAAAGTCTCTTTTTCCGAGCCGCGGTCGGTGCTGAGGCCGGGTGAAGCCAAGCGCGGGGAGGCTGCGCTAGCGCCTTCAGTAACTGGCACTGTGGCAGAGAGAAGCAAAACACAACCGGTTTCCACGAGACCTCTCAGATGCATCTCACCAGCTGATTCATTTTGGAGTAACGTCTTGCGTAGTCGGCACTGCAAAGGCAGTTTAGGCTTTGCGTTGACCGTTGAGATATTGAATGTTGCTGTTATAATTATGTTTTGCTCTAAAAATACTCTGGAGCTTCCTTCCAGTTTCATAGGATTTTTGCTATTTTTTTCCTTGCTTTTTCATGCTTTTTTTTTTTTTAAATAGGAAAGCTTGGTGGATTTTGATTTGTTTTTTTTATTATTATTAATGACACGAGAGCTCTAATTTTGTTCTGGTTTTAATCAGAGAGGCTGCTCTCACATCTGGGTGGAAAATGACATCACTATTTGTGAATAGTAAATACGTGAAGTAGCTTGTGAAACTCCTCTGATTTGAGGCTAGCTAGGTTTATGTGCTTCTTAGCAAATTCACTTGCTTATAAATTCTGTAAGCAATTCTCTGATGAGGAGATTGCGATGCCCTGCCTTGCCAGCTAGGGCGGTCTGTGGTTTGAGGTGACTGCGTGCAGCGCGAAGGTTTCGTTCCCACGCTGCCTGTTTGCCCAGTCCAAGCCCCGCTAACGTGCCCCGTGTTTCCTTCCTACAGATCATCCCCGAACCAGGACCTCCCGGACTGCCCGGCCCTATGGTAGGAGTCTGCAAAGCAGCATGTACAACAGCAGAGCGCGCCGTACGCTCGGTATCGCGTTTGATTTGAAGAAGGCCGAGGGGTGTTTTGCTCTGTTCGATCGCTGGGGGCTGCTGTAAGGAATGTGGAAAAAGCAGGGAGCAGCCATGGCAGGGGTGCTGCCTTCAGACAGGCAGGAGCGCCCGGTTTAGAAAGGACGTCGTCCGTGTTTGCGGCAGGTCCTGCAAATATCCTCGGGACGGAAAGCTAAAACCTCCCACAACGTGGTGGGATGGGAAGACCGGTTCCCCATGGGGATGGCATCTGAATTCCTGCAAATTTGCCAAAGTGAATGAGTTTTTGGCCGTTAACTGTAGCGGGAGAGGATGTGGGCAGCGACGAACATAGTCAGCGATTTTAACGAGGGTTTCTAAAGTGTTTGGTACCCACAACTCTGGAGGCTGGAGATGCTGAGGGCCATGCTTGAGAGCACCCGGGCTGATGTCCTGCTGCATTCGTGATCCTGACGGTCCCCTTGGACAGCAAAAGGCAGGATTAGCAGGGGGTAGCGAGGCTGCAGAGCACGTTGCAGCTCTCTTCAGAAAAGCTTTTGCCGAGTTCATTCTTCAGAGTTAATTTTTAAGAGTTTTATTGTTGCGTGTTGTGCAATCCAGCAATTTTCAGTTTTTGTTCCCACCGATTTGACATAGGAGAAGCAAATAAACTACTACCTGTCTTGAAAGCAACTATTTGGCCGTTGTCAGTCAGACCCGTAGCTTTAATGAGACGTGATTTGGGAAGCAAACATCTTGATTTGCTTTTAAATTCTGTTTTTCAAATGCACCATTGTCTTCCCTGCAGGGTCCTCCAGGAATCCAGGGGCCTAAAGTAAGTCAATCAACTAAATGTCACCCACTGTTTCCAGGCTGCCAGTGCATTATTTACAGGAGCACAAAGGACTGTCAGCTCTGGGGACTGATTTTTTTTGTCACTGTTTGTGACAACACATCCCTTGATTGTGTTGTTCAGCAGCTGGCATTTTGGAAAATAGGCCATTTGTCCTTCAACATACATTTCTGCTCTTAGGACTCCACGGCGAAGAAGGATTTGTTTGCTTGCAGCACATGCGAGTCAGGCTTTCCAAACTCTCAGGCTTAAACCTCTATTTTGAAATATTTCGCATAGAGTTTAGTCAAGAAGAAAACGTTAATGGCAGCGAGGGTGTAAGCTTTGTCCGAATCTTGCAGTTTTTCTTCCATCCTGCTCCTGTACACACAGCGCCGGCTGGTTGTCCTCGCCGGGGCCGCGTGATCCCGCTCATGGCTAGCGCAGCTGGCCTGGCCGTTTGTCCTGCCTTTGGGCATGGCCCGTCCTCCTCACCTTGAGCAACTCCCCCGGCATGTCTGAGGCCGTTTTTGAGGCCTCCGTCGACACGAGCTCCCCGCGCCCCGTAGCGTGCTGCTCGGTTGACATCGCTTCATTTACGCAGGGCTTGGACGGTGCCAAAGGAGAAAAAGGCGACAGTGGTGAGAAAGGGGAACGTGGTGACACTGGACCAGCTGTGAGTAGCTTTCCCACCTCCAGTTTCTGACTAACGACAGAAACCTGCCTTTCAGCAGCTTTCCAAATGCCTTTTTTTTTTCTCTCTCCCGCAAGGGTCTCCCTGGTACTCCAGGACTTATCGGTTTACCCGGCACCAAAGGAGAGAAGGTAACCACCGGGGTGGGAGCGGTGAAATCCTCTTGTAGTCCTAAAAGAGGAGCAAGGGGCTGTAGCAACCCCTGTCCTCTGTGGTCCCACCGGTCCAGCTAGGAGTTACCGGCACTATGCTGCGTTTGTCACGGATGAGTTCACTTCAAGTCGCTGTTTTAGGAGCGGAAGGATTTACTACTAGAGTTGCTAGGAGTTACTACTAGTGTAGAAGGATTAACCTAAGCCTGCCTTAAGACACTGTAAATTGGGAGCAGGACGATAAAACTAATTTAAACGTGCCTGGTGGCTTGCTGCGGCAGCTGTGCGTTACCTCGGTTGGCTAAAGGACCGAGCGATATTTGCCGAGCTCCGAATCTGCAGGAAACGCAGAGCAGTTGGTCACGGTAACGAGGATGAGGAGGACGCCAGCGTCGCTGAACGGAGGGCTCCCGGGCGCCGGGCCCTCGGCAGCCACCACCTTCCCTCTGGCTCCGTTGGACGTTAAGGGACGCTTATTCTGGGAGGAGGCGAAGCGCTAATAAACAGGCTTCTGCAGAGGTGGCTTTAGAGACTGAGCGTTGCTGCATCCACCCATCTAACCCTTGCGACAGCAAAACCCCTTTCCTTAGTACCTGTAATACGTTTTTAGTAGCCCGCGCAGCAGGAGGCTGCTTGGTGCCTTTCTTTTCGCTCAGGTGAATTCTACGCCCTTGTTTACAGGAGCTTAAGTATCATGGGAGGATCTGACGCCTCGATAGTCAATATTTAGGGAAAATGGCAGTGCGAGGCCTGCTGCTCCTCCCTGCTGTAAATCTGCAGAAGCCAACTTCTGGGATGTACAGGCTGTAACTGCAGTGCCTTCAAGAGTCTCTAACTTCCCTATTAAAAGACATAAATGCTTCCTCTTACTTGTCTAGGTTTCTTAGTTTTACCAGCGTTTGTCTTCAGAGCTATAGCATCAATGAATTGCTGTTTTCAAGGGTCTGCCTCACTTTTAGATCAGTAACTGGGTCTAGTAAGTGCTGCATGACTAGTTAGGTGCGTGAATGACTAGTTAGTAGTATATTGAGCCCAAAACTGCAATCCAACGAGCTCACGGAAAGCTGTGCAAGCTCTTCCTGTTGTTTCACTAGTATTTCACCAAATGGATATAAGTCTGCCTACAACATCAGACTCTAATATGGCATGTCTTTTTTTCTTATTTTTATAACTGCAGGGAAAGCCAGGGGAACCAGGATTAGACGTGAGTATGGAACACATTAATTGTGATATGTAGAAACATGAACAACATGCACGTGAAGACCATCACATTGATTGGCATTCTCATGAAAATATATAGCTAATGTTGTATATACTATTTTGAATTAAACAGGTGCCCTGCGGAACAGTATATCAGTAGGAAACAGCTTAATTCAGACAAGCTATAACTCTTCCAAACCATGTATTATTTCTCAGCTAAGGTGCTGGGGGAGTTTCTCTTTTTTATTGAGAATATTTGTACTAGACTCAATAAAATGAAAATCTCTACTGGATAAAATGTTACAAATAAAGCACAAGCTTTCCCAAGAAATTGCTGAGAGACAAAGTCAAAAAGGAAGCAAATGTCACGTTCTTCACCATGGGAGGCCGGGTTGATCGCTTGGGGTTGATTATGTGGAGCTGAGATGCTGAGACCTTTACAAAGTCAACTTACAAATCTTTTTTTTTTTTTTTTTCTTTTGCCTAAAAATTGCCATGATAGGGCTTCCCAGGTCTAAGAGGAGAGAAAGGAGAAAGAAGTGAAAGAGGGGAGAAGGTAAGTGGGTCGTGGCTGTACCAGTGCTGGTGGGGGCAGCAGGAGAGGGGTGCAAGAGGGGCAAACTGGCTGCTCCTTTTGGCTGCATTAGTATTTGCATGGCCCTAGTCCAGGGCAGGATGATTGAAGCTGCCAATTCCTATGGCCTGGGGAGCGTTTTTGCAAGCCTCTCACCCCTGCAGCCTGCAAACGCTGGGGGTGCACTGGAGGAGCCTGGCAGCTCCTGTTTGCGCTTTGGCTTCACAGACCTTGAAAATGCATCTGAGTTGGAGGGTTTGTCGCAGGGATCCTTAAAAAAAAGTACAGGAGGGCTGGGAGGGGGCACGACCATGCCAGGGAGCTTCGTGGGGAGGGCAGGGCTGCCCCAAACCACCTACTGATGGGCACTGACCCACCTTCCAGCAGAAACGGGCCATTGAGCTAGTCTGTTTTAAAATTAATATACTCTATCAAAATCTATCAAAATATTCCCACCCAGCTTTAATTGAAGATTTGCACATTCATGTAATTCCACGGTTGAGGTTACATTAGTGCAAATCTCCCTCATTTGAACTAGCTGTGGGGCAGGAACTTGCAATTGCTGTGCAAGTTAAAACCAAGTTGTCCTTTTCCTGCCTCTCACCCCTTCTGTCCTTGACATGATTTTTCTCTTGTGGCAACAGGGTGAGAGAGGAATGCCAGGGAGAAAAGGAGCTAAAGGGCAGAAAGGGGAACCAGGCCCTCCTGGGCTGGACCAGCCTTGTCCAGTGGTAAGTCTTTTATTTCGTTCCTCTTAAGCTTGCATGGCAGCGGCTGGAAGGGCCTGCAGCTTTGCAGCCAGGGAAGGGGAAGCAGCACTCGATAGTTCTTTATTTTGCAGTAAATCAGAGCAGATGGTTATTGTTTTCTCACTTTTCTTAATGGTTTGTTTTATCTGCACTGCTGGAAGTTCACAGCTTTCTGTAGTGACTCCGTATTGGCCAGATGGGAACAAGCCACAGCAGTAAAAATAAGGAATCTTTGTGTAAAGACCTTCTCATTGTCATCAGGAACAATGGGCTTCAGTAAGGCTCTCCAGCAGATAGCGGGCCCTGCTGAAAGCTGCTTGCTTAGTTTTTCAGAACATTTGAAATTAGGGAGTAACGCGATGCAGCGGATGGGAGGCAATTTGAAAAGAGGCCAGCTCGATCCCCTCATCTCTGATGAGAATCAAACGGGATGAGTCTGGCTCTAGCTCTGCCGCGCAGGGAAGCTGGTCGGCGTTGGTGGCCGAGCAGCTCCGTAACGCTGCCGAGATAAGCGGTGTACGAGCTAGAGCCTCTGAGGCTGCCGAAAAGGGAGCCTGGGGGAAGAGATGCTGTTTCTCCAGCTGAGATGGCACCTGGTACCGGAGATGTGTCCTCTCTCAGGCAGGTACTGGGCCACCAACATGGAGCATGTGCACAAAAACGGCCCAAAAGCCCTCTTTCCTTCCCAGAAAACCCTCCTTGCTGTTGATGAGTCCGAGGGATAGGGATGTATTTCTCAAGTCAGCTTCCAGAATGTCTCGTTCATTTGATCGGCCCCAGCAAAAACCTGCAGTGGTTTATATGAAGTTACTTGGCCTGGTAAATTTACCTCCTTTTCATTACTGCTCTTCGTTTAATGACTAAAAATTGATATATCATGTATAATTGATATATTCCATAATATGCTTTGAGATTGCTGGATAACAAGGTAATTTGTATGAACTATTGAACTAAAATTACTTAAATTTGGCTTTTAGAACTAAGTACAACTACACAGGACTAGTGGTGGCGGGTACTTGCTTAAACTCGCTCGAAAAACCCACTTTTTGCTAGACCTTGTGTAAACGTGTGATTTTTTTTTTTTCCCTCTGCCAGCACACCTCTGTCAATCAAAGCTGTCGCATAACTCCACTCTACCAGCAAACATCTCCCTTTGCCAGTATACCTTATTTTGCTTAGAGAGTAAACGTGAGCTACAATTAATTATTTTGCTGGTGATAGATCGCCTTTCTTCTCTCCACGTGCTGAATGATCTAACCCTCATCTTTTTAACTGCAGTTAGAAATGTGAATCTCTGGTTTGTGCGTACAAGGTATTTCCCAGATGAGACTTGGTGGTGTCTGCAGATTCCCAACCGTAAAACAATTCTGTTGGCTTGCTGTGTCATCAGAAATGGACGTGTCAAATTTTGAACCTGTGCTTTGCTTTTCTGCTGAAACGCTGGTGTCTGTTCAAGTAACTCCTGTGTCCTTTATGATTCTCAGCAAGCAGTTATTTTTTTAAACAGGGAGATCGTACTGTTAAAGGCAACAAAGGGGAGCCAGGTTTACCAGGCCTGGATGGGGTGAGCGTGCCCTGCTCTTTGGTATAGTGTCTGCTTTTTCCCTTTCTTGCATGGTTTGTGTCCGTTTCTGCTGTTGCAAAGCCCTTTCCCAAGGAGTGAATCCCTCTAGGGAGAGAAAGGAACATAAATCAGCAGAGCGCAAACAAGACGTTTCGCTTTGGCCTCCTACTCCGAGGGCCAACGTGTTGTGCCTTCTTCCCGCGGTTAAAATGACTTTAGATGTGGAGTGGAGGCAATGGGAGATCAGGTAGGGAATGCTTGATCGTTTGTAATAGGTGCTAAAAACTAGTTCTTGTCTCTCTCACCACCTGCAACCTATTTTGGACCCCCTCTTGCCTGTCCTTCCTGCAGCCCTGCAAAGGCAGGTTCACGCCTGAAAAGCTTTCTCCCGCCGAATGGCCGCGAGCGCCGTAGCTCTACGGAGCGGCGGCTGGAGGGGTTCGCTGACGCTCTGGGCATTAAAAGAGCATTTACTGTGGCGGCATGTAGTTCTGCGTGCGCTCAGGTTCACGTCCAAAGATTATTCCAAAAGGTTCGTACTCCGTCCTCTGCAAGGACGCTGCATGACTAGCCAAAAGAGGTCATTGTTTTATTTTCCTTTTTTTTTGCATCATAGAAAATGCTGCAAATTAGATGATTTGCAGTTGTCTTCAGAGAAACAAAGGGGCAGTAAGCTGTCTCTCTTTCAGAAAGTTAAATTGCTTTCATATGTGTCAAAGAAGCCAATTATTAGCAGAAGGCTCTTCGACTCTTCATATTTACTCCCCAGAGATGGTCATGTTTACCAAATATTTCCCCTCTTAACTACATACAAGGCACAATACCTACCTATATTGAAGGCACTGTAAATAGCAGTTGGTGGTTTCTTCTATATAGAACTACTATGTGGCTAGTTAAAAAAGCACTTTACCTATCTCCTTGCTTATATACCTAAGGGTTAGTTGCATGCTGCGCGCGAGTGCCTTCGTCCTCCACCCGGCCGTGCGGCGGCGGTGTGCTGTGCCCTCGGTGATTGCCTTCAGTCCAAGAGTTTGTAGCACGAGCCTTACACGGAGTTTGCAAATCACTTTTTAAGTTGACGAGTCACTTTGGAATCACTTGAGTGAAACACGATAAAAACGTGAGGAATTTTCTGACTGCCAAGACGAGTGCCTTGAGTGCGCAGAAGGGAGAAAAGGCCCAGGGCAGAAATCATCCCTGTGACCGTCAGCGTGCGAGGACGCAGCATGTCAGGATCTTTCCAGGCCAAACTACTACCCTGCTTGTTGCCCCTTTTGCCCTTCACCCCCAGACAACTCTGATAAATATGCAGGTCGGACTTTTTTTTTTTTTTTTATTAATAGATATGGAACAAAATATTGACTGGTATCAGCAGAAAAAGTTGCCTGGTACCTAACTACTGTTTACGTTATAGGAAAGTACGTGAACATAACTTGACGTGCTGTGCTATGAGTAGCTAGAGAGGGTGACCTTACTTTTCACTGCATCTGTTTTATTGGGCATAGGCTATTTTACATATAAAAATCAATACAGAATACAAAAAAATGTGATGACTGACATTCACAGTAAAAAATGTAGGAAACGCGTTTTTGACCTATATTTGCACTAGCAGTTATCTCCGCTGCGAACACATCCGTGTGACTTCCAAGCCCTAGTTAATGTGGAGATGGCTCTGAGGGAAGGGGCAGCGCCCCTGGCTCTCGGTAGCTGTTCTGTACCTGCAGAAATTTGTGCAATCAGAGATCCCAAGAGCCTTAAAAAATCCCACATCAGAAAAGGCAAGGCAAGTCAGCTATTTCTTATAAAGTATCTTGAATGAGAGAGTTGGTCATACGTAGTCCATTCCTCTTCTAAGGGGTCCCTTCCGTTTCACTGTTTTCCTCCTGCTAGGTAAGCTCTTTTGGCTTTCTGATTTCCGTACGTTTTCTTGCATCTCCATCAGAAAAAGACAAGTATTTCCATGCTTACTCTCTTTGCATAGTCCACAACTCATCCTATTCCAATGAGTTCAGCAACTCAGGATTTCTCAAAGAAATTAAGCACTGCAGAATCGAATTTAACACAACCAGGATATCATTTAAAAAAAAAAAAAGTTTTTTCACCTCCCCCCGCAATCTGAAATGCACACGTTAACAAGAGTTACATTGCCACATCATGTTTTCCATGTATACGTCTGACTGCAAATATCACTACCTTTTAAAGCAGATTATGAAATGAACTAACTGTGGTTCCAAATTTTTATATTTGCTTACATTTTCTTTTTTGTTTAAAGGAAAAAGTGTGGTTGTTTTTTTCACCCTGGGCTGTATTCAGTTTTGCATTATGCCTAACACACAGATTATATTGCGTATTTTTTTTGTCTGTGCGTATGAAGCCTATGGGTTTTGCATGGCAGTTATCCTGAATCGTGCTGCTACGTCTTTCATCGCTGTGAGGACTGAACTTCAGGTTTTGGGGTGCTGTGACACTTAAGTCACTGTCAACAGAAGTTAAATCTGTAAATTCACTTTTGCAGGGACCAGATGGACTGCCAGTAGCAGGATGTTGGCATAAGGTACAGTAATAATAATTATATATCCTTGAATAGGCAGAGTGGTTTTGGCTGCATGGTGACTGCTTGTACGGCTACGTTTCCTTTAAGCAGTAGGCGGTATACCCTGCAGACAAAGCGTCATGCCTTGCGAGAAGAGGAGCCCATCTAGTTTTGTACCTTGTTCCCCACAGCTGTAGACTGGTTTCCGCACAAGAAGCGAAAGGGGGTTTCTGCACCCCAAAAACTTGCTAACGATGAAAAATCACTCTGGTTAATACTGTCAGTAGTGATTCCCTTTTTTAGGCTAGCTCAGACTGGGACTCTATTTTGGCCTGAGCGGTTTAGGAACCGGTCATGCAAAGACTGCACAGTTCTGCAAATTGGGCTTGTATAACCTGCGTTCACACTGTATCATTTAGCTGAGATTTTTCTAGACAATCACCTTTTCTATCAGAGTTGCAAAGTGCTCATTTCCCCACAGACTTTCCTGCCACAGTAATTATGCCTCCGCAACCACTACGCTGCTTCAGCGTTTAAATCGGGAAATCTGGGTGCGTGTGGTCAGATAACTCGGAAACGTCTCGCCCTACGCCCCCAGCGCGACCAGTGTTTAAGCGCGGGGCCGTCCAGTGCAAGAGACGGCTCCCACGAGAGCGATTAGACAGCTCTCTCCCATAAGATGAGCTTTTAATCCCGACTTTTAAGAGGGTGCTGTAATGTCGTTCTCCGACATGGCTATGCCACCGGAGCAGAAGGGAATTACTAACCCAATTTCAAACATATGGTACGGGGACGTAATTCAAGCTAACAGCAAGCATGTTACTAACGTTGCAAGCCCTCAGTTAGAATGTAAGCATGCCCTTAGCATATAAAAGGCTCTAATTCTGTGGAAAGTCGTTTGGATGTACTTTTAATGTTAAGAAAAAAAAAAAAATTAGTATCGATCCTTACAACGTTAACAAGAAAATCAGTAAACGTGATGGAGCGTTTCTCTTTGATTAAAATGTTTTTTTTATCTGTGTGTTCTTTTCCAGTGATCTCTAAGCATGAAGCACAGTGTGTAAATAATGTGATATATTTTGATCTATTTTTTTGTATAAAAAAGGAACAAAAAACCCTTCAACAGTAATATATTGACCTTTTTTATACTGGATTCTGTCATTTATGGACTTTGAAAATATTGTAAAGCTCCCAAACCCATAAGATATGCATGATAACATCAGGATTTGGTAAAGGTACCAATGACAGTAGCTGAGAACGAAGAGTATTCCCTGCTGATGTGGCTGTGTGAACTAACAGTCCTGAGACAATGTGTTGCCTGGTGTGCCTTATAGCATGAAGGAGGGAAGATCCCTATCCTAACTGGACTCTCAACTCTGTATTTGCATTGCACGTGCACGTTAAAAGGGTGAAAAAAACTGGCTGAAAACAAAAAAGAAAAAAAGGATGCAGCCCTAGAAATGAAAGAAGCTGCTGTAGACCATCTGGCCAAAGAAAAGAAGGACTTTCAACTTGCAGAGGAAACAAAGCCAAGCTCCGTTCACTGCTGCCTGCTGTTGCTATGATGGAAATAGCAATCCTTTGGTTAAAAGTAACAATCTTGACTACCTGTGGATATTTCACTGCTATCAACAGAAACTTTTATCTCAAGAGGAAACACCTCTGGGTCCCGTTATGGGTTCTTTGACTGAAGATACGCAAATGCTCTGTTACTGCAGAACTCAAATTCCTTAGAAAACCTCAGCTGCAATATTTCAAAACACAAAAACCTAGCAATACTTTCAGTGAAGAGTTGCAGGATAGGGAGGGCTCTGCTGAAGCCTTTTCTTAGGCAACAGAGCAAATAACGTTGTTTGCTATTGGAGTTCCCAAAACTTGGGAGGTTGGAGTATTTAATTCTCCTGGTTTGTAGGGTTCATTTGTATTTGATTTTCTTGGTTTTTAATTGTAAACTCTGTAACTGTCTGCGTGTTCCTCTTGTCCTCCTCTTTCTCTCCCCCTTTTTCGTCTCTTTAAACTATCTGATCTCAGGCGCATCCCATGCAGAGCAGAGTAATGAATAAAAGGAGGATTATGATTTCTATCTCTGCATATGGCGTTAGTGAGACCAATAAAAAATTTGCAAACTATTCCGCTGTTAACATTTTTAAAGATGTTGAAAAAATTAAGGGACTGTGCAGTAAAGAGCCATAAAAATATTTCAGGGAGGAAGAAAAATCTTTACAAGGAGTCTGTTCAGCTTAAAATGAAGATCAGGAGGCAACTGGATTCCTTCACAGGGAGGAGATACTTTATATAACAAGTTCTTAAACTGAACAGAGAAATATGTACAAAGATCTGTCCAACGGCTGGAAGCTGAAGCTGCACAAAATAAGCCATGGTTTTTTAATAGTGAGGCTGATGAATGATAACCAGACCAGTGATTGGATCTCCATTCACTTTAATGCCATTTTGATTTGACCGATCATTTCTGGAGGAAATACTTCAGCCAAATACAAGTTGCTCAGTGTAGGAGTCTGAGGTGAAATTAAGAGCCTGTCCATGACATCAAACCAGATAATGAAAGAGCTCTGTGGCCTTAAAGAACAAAGAGGAGGAGGAAGGGGAGTCATTTTTTGTATACTGAGTAGATCTGAACCCTCTGTCAGATCCTTGTTCCACTGCACGTCTGAGGGCAGCTGGAGACGGAGGATTTGAGGGAGGGATGCGATCCAAGGGCAATCTGCCCTGTACAGACTGACCCAGTGCAAAGTTAATTCTCGCTCTGGTATCCTGAAGAACAGTAGCAACACGCTCAGCGCTTCAAGGAGACGGGGTGAAGTTTGATGTTTGTGAATGCTCTCATCAGTGTTTGTGTCCTAGTTGTCCTTGAACTTATCCTGCTAGTCAGCGGGGAATGTTTGCTATGTGCAGATAAATGGGACATCTAGCTTGGTAGATGTGGACGTAAAAGACTTATGGCTGTAGGCAGTGAATTTTTTCTACCTGTCTTAGCTGCCTGGGTTCTGTACCTATGCATTGCTTGCTTTGTGGCCATACTTTGCATCTTTACCAGTTATTGACCATATTCTTGGTCACCATATAGATTAAATCTGTGCAGATCAACTAACAAATCAAGAAACAAGAATTATGTAATTCAAACAGCAATGAAAATGCATTTTATTTACTTCCATTTCATGATGTTAGCTATCGCTTTTGGTGTGGGGGGGGCTTAAAGGCATAAGGAGCAGTTGGAAAACAAGCTCCCACTGGCTTTAGTGCTTTTGAAAAACCCCTTTACCCTCCCAAATTAAAGCTAAATTCTTCTGTGGAAGGTTGAAGGCAAATCTCTCATTGATGTCACTGGGAAGACGACCTGTAATTGTTCCCTTACTATACAGCTGATCTTCCCATCTCCCCCCGTCGTCTCCAAACTAAAGCAATACGCTACTCCAAATCACGCTGTGGGGCCTCTACGCTCAGTATCCTGCGCTCGTCCTGTTCATGGAACTTCTGTTGGTATCAATGAGAGGTCAGTCCCCAGAATGACTGCAGAAAAGCACAAGAATCTGGAAGTGTCCACAAACAATCTACAATGCAGATAGAAAAGTCTTGTTTTACATATGCTGGCAAAAACTAAACAGCTTTCTATCTAGCTCCTACTTGAAGAAGTTTGATATCACTGAAGCTACAAGACAAGCTAACCTCCAAAGCTTATGAAATTATATTAAAATTTGTATTTTCTCTGAGGAAATACCCCGAAGTCCTATTATCTTCAGGTAAACAAGTCAGTATTCCGTCTTCAACTTGTGGAATATCCAGTGCTTGTAGGCATCAACTGTGACCACTGCCAGGCCTGCAAAACATTGATACAGAATACCAGAATAGTGCTTTACCTATTGCTCTAACAGCTCTGCCTTCCCCCTCCCAACACAGAGCCTCTGTTGCCGCAGAACCCAAAGACATTTGCTCATGCTGGAGGAAGAGAGCTCTCTTTAAATCGACTAAACCTCTTCCCTGGGGTTTTTCTTCCCCATTCCCAAGGCACAGCCTGATTACTCAAGAGGTTTTCATGCTGGTCGAGGAGGAAGGCTGGAATCATCTTCCTAGCAGAGGACTTTGTGGCTGGTGTCCCTGCCTGTCAGTGCTAACCCGTTGGCTGCCAAATCTTTTCATGATAATCTTTGAAAATCTTGGGCAGATGCCCTCTGCATAGGTTAACTGTGCATCCTGAGTACAGCGAGTCCAGCACATACAAAGCAGGTTCATCTATGCACTTACAGCGAGTTGAGTATGTTCTGGATGTCTCAGTTACTGCACGTGTACAGATCAACAGCCCACGTGCAGTAGTTCCTCTGGACTTCTGCCGCTTTCATTTCCTTTAGAAACGCTGGTGGAAATGGATCCTGCAGTATGCGGCAACGGATCCTGCAGTATGCGGCAACTATTGCCGCATCAGCTATGAGGAAGTCAACCAATAGATCTTCAAGGATCTGCTGGTCATAAGCCTGGTCTGCCAATCCCTTTTGGCACCAAAGCAATTGAAACCTGTGCAAGCAGAGCTCCAGGGGAGGTACAGATCCCTAAGCCAGGCTACTGCAGGGGATTACAGTTGTGATCTGCACTAAAAGTCCTTCGTGGGCTTAACTGGGCGCCCTTGGTCTGTAGATTCTGAGCTCGATACCCTTATTTATCAGTTAATGCAGATCGACAAACTGTATTAGTTAGAGTAACTGTGCATTTCATATTGATAGTATGGGGTCTAAGAGAAAATCTGTTTAGATTTCTGTGTGCTTTCCAAACACGCGTTTCAAAAGAAGACTAGATTGTTAAATTGCTTCAGCAGAGTCATAATCTCATTGGGAAGAGTTAACAAGATTTGCTTTGCTCAGCAAATTCATGCCAGATCAGCTGATTATTTTCTCCTTCTATATGAAAATGTTTGTGTGGGTCTTTCTGAATACTTGAATTTGCAAGTAGCTCACGAAGACGAATTTTACTCACAGGTAGTACTGGCAGCCTCTCTCAAAACTCAGTAATTATCTCAGCCTCTTACGAAGCGTGGTGGGGTTTCCCCCAGCCTCCAGGAAACCGCTCTCTTTTTTCCTGACTTGAGAGATGTTAAGTTTGTTTTACAGGAATTCAGAAATACAGCTAAATGCTACCACTAGATGTCAGTAGCAATAAAGGTGATTGACAAGGCGGCTGCTACTGCTTATGAAATACAGGTCCTTCTGAGACCAAGCAACTGATTTATGTTAACCACTAAGATACTTCATGTTAGCTTCATGAGTTCATCAGTAAACAGATTTTGGTTGAAACACTTAAGTTACTGGTCTTGGAGAAATCTAAAGCACAGCCAAGTTCATGTTTATCTCTGTTTTCTAGTTTATAGAACAGGAGAAAATTCATTGGTCTGATTTAAGCGACAGAGGCCTGGTGATTTCCCTTGTGCTCAGATAAATATGTCCGTCTGCTTCCTAGGAGCAGAGGACAAGCAGCTTGCTTAAAGGTAGACTTAAGGTTAAAGGTTGCTTAAAGGTTCTCCTTAAAATCATAGCCAGCAAACATCTTTCCAGATATTATCAACATCCTCCCTCTGACCTAGTGTAACACGATCAATTTTGGAAGCAAAGCTCCCAAGCTGAGCCCTAAGGGTGCCAGAACTCACCAAAACCCCTACAAGGTTTTGCGTCCGCGAAGCTCTGCGGGCAGAGCTGCCTTGCCCCAACACCCGGCCCGTCCGGTGTGTGACTGCAGCTGGAATCGCCTGCTGCGCGGGTGGCTTTGGGTGCTGCTTTGCTTCAGCTGGGCGAAGGTAGGGCGGTTGCTGCAGCGCCCTTGGGGCCGTCGCTCGAGAACTAATCGGCGCCGCGGGCGCTAGGAACGGCGATGCTGCACCCGGCTAAGAACGGGGAGAGCTCCCCGGAGCTTCTGCTGGGAACATGTTTGGGGGGAAGATAAACAAGATCAAACATCCCCCTCGGTTGCAACTCCGGTTTAGTGCCGAAAGCACACCGCGAGCCCCGGACGTGCCACTCGCCTGAGCGTGAACCCCATGGTTTGGCCTGTCCGAGGGGTGGATGAGATGGAGTTTTGCAGCTGAGCTAAGTGTAGGCTTGGCCTGTTAGTTCAGGAATATTTCTCTGGGTTATGAAACAGGTGGCAGAGAAAACCCAGCCTGACTCCAAACTGCAAATGTTTCCAAGCCTTAATGCATTGGGATTCAGTTAACTTAAAACAAAAGAAAAGATATTGCCACATGCTTTAGTTTCTTAAGGGAGAGTCTTCTTTCAAGTACATGCTGCTTTTAACACTTTCTGTATATATAATGATGAATTTATTTCTATAGGGATTTTTCTCCTGTGTAATTCGTATTTAAAAATACGAATGCTAGACCTTCTGGTGTGTTTTTCTTTTTTTTTTCTTTTTGGGAAACCAAAAGATGAAATATTTAAGTGAGTTTTTATGTTTTGTCATTTCATAAATTTAGCATGTGAAATTAAGCAAACCAGTGAAACGCGTGTGAGGTTTCAGCAGTTCAAGCCATCCTGTGTCATGATGGACTGGAGTGGCTGAATGCTGTCCAAGGCAAAATACGTATTAAATGTATTCTGTGGAGAATGACACAGGTCACTACCCAAGCTTTTAAAGATTGCTTAAACTGTGAAGTTGTATGCTTGTTATGGCCAAAGCTTTCATGCTAGAAAGCCTGTTTTCTAGTTTGGTTACTTTAGCCTTCTCCCCCAAAATGGAAACTCGGTGTCGCGCTTCAGCTGGTGAAACTGGGCACAACTATATTGCCTGTAATAGTGCTAAAGCAGTTTACACCAGCAAACGTTTCGGTCTACGGTGCTTAGTGTCCGGCCAGCCCACAGCTCGGGAAGGAGCTGTGATTTGTGTAGATGTGGCACAATCGGCCACACGTACCGGACTCTTGGGCTACAATGAAATTGCCTCACCCTTTTGTAACACAGAGCTTAGTTAGAGCCCTGTGATGCTTGAAATCCCCAGTTTTGCTAATGGCAAACAGTCATCCTCAGTCGATACAACTGCGTCCCATTAGCCTGCGAACTCAGTAAGTTTGTTTAAGGTAGCGGGTAGCATGCCTTAGGTTTCATGGCCATTGAATGCTTATTTAATGCTGCCCTCTAGAGGATATCTGTCATATATACAAACAAATTTTATGCCAGGAGGGAAAAGAAACTTTTTGTTTTTTCCTGATACTGTCCCCTAAGTGACAGGACACACAGGGAGGGTGCATCTCTTGCATTTTGAATAGTTCTTTCTAAAACAGGTGTGCAGAAGTAGAAATTTTAACTTTTTTTTCCTCCAAATCTTGTATTTCTGTCATGGGCAATGCTACATCAGTGTCTCATTTCTTCTTCTTAGTCCAGTTGTTACCTAGACAATAAATCTATGGTGTTACACAAAAAAAATCGATCTCTAGTAGGCTTTGAGCCAAGTTTCCATTATTGAAATGTTAGTGGGAGGAAGTTTCAAATTATTTTCTTTACAGACAACAGATTTATATGAAGAGGCACAAAAATACTAGTAACAACAAACGATAAAAGCGTTTAAGAACACTTAGTGTTCCAAAACCGCTTATCTGAGACAAATGCTGTATGTCTCTGGTCCAAATCTGATGAGCGAGTTTGGTTCCAACTTGCACTATTATAGCTAAGAGCAGAGTTAGCCCCGCTGCCTCCCGTATGGGCCTGAGGATGGAGAAGACCTCAGTACTGCTCTACCTGAAGTGCACAGTTAAGTTTTACTTGATGTTTGCTAGTGTGCTTTATAGCACAGCTAGGCTTCCAGTTGATTAACCTGGAGGATTTTCCAAGTGAGCAATGAAGTATTTTGATAGATTTCGGGAGGCCTAAGACACTTAAGCTTGGAAGGCAATCACTGTGGCATGCTGCCTTGGGAGGTACTGACCTTGGCAACCTTACAGAACCACATTTATGTAAGAACAAATACTTCTTGAAATCTTTTACAACAGTGATTTAAAGAAAAAAAAAAAGAGTTATAGCAAATAAGGAAGAGAATAACATCTGGTCACTCTGCTCCAGTCTCTCTGTTTAGTTGTTGGAGTCTCCCGCCTTTTAATGGTGTCCCCGGCCTGACGGTAAGGTAGTACAGTTTGAAATCCTTCATAGCTCCGTTTTGGGGAATCTGTTGCTCACTGAAGTAAACCAGTAAGTAGAAATCTATTTCTTAGACTGTCTTCCTTGATTATAGTTTCCGTTTCTAAACTAAAAATGACTTCTGCAAGTATTTCCATATTCCTAGTTGAATTATTGTGACTTTCCTATATATCTGTGTATCATTAGACGGCTTAACAAAAGTGATGTTCAACTATTGTATAATGTGCAGCTAACGTTAAGTGTTGAAAACCTGTCTCTTAAAAATGAATGGCAGAAGGACTTAATAGCTTGTAGGACTCCACGCTACCCTGGGGGAAACCACAGGAAAGATGGGAAACATGCGTTCTGAATGCACAAGAGGTGGCATTATTGGCAACGGAGTGGAATAAGACCTACATTAGCATTTGTGGTTTTCCTGTGTCTTAGGACAACAATCAATCCCTGCCCACTAAGTTCTGGTAGAAGTTGCCTCATCGTTGTTTAGTTTAACGGCACAGCTGGCTAACTGGTTTTGTGTGTGCCTGTGTGTGGTTTCTTATATAATGCAGATATTAATGGAAAAAAGGTTAGAACGGAGATGCCTCGTGTATCTGAAATACATTTCTCAGTAAACGACAGTAATAGCGCTTGCTGCTTTTTTTTAACGTGTTGTTAGAAACTGAATTGTATGCTTTTTTTTACATGGTTTTATGAAGTGGGTGCATATCAAATCTGCATTTCTGTAATTAAAAAAAAAAAAATTAGGACCTGGTTTTCCTGGCTTTGCACAGCACTAAGCACCTATATTAGCCACCGAACTTCCAAATTAGGCAGAAGAGGTAAAATGCCATTAGCTAGAAAGAGAGTGGGAGTCTTGGTGTGTTTGCTGGGTAGCTTCACAGATGGCACGAAGTTTTGCAGAAATTTTCATAACATAAATTATTTGTAGTTCTTTTTCAGTACTTTACAAAAAAATCCCCAAATTTATTCCTAAGAAGATGGTTCAGTATAAAATACCCCAGTTAAAGCTGATAATCAAACCTGAGACAAAGTTACCTGCTCTGTTGTAGTAATTTACTTTGGACATAAAAATCTCTTAAAACTGGTATGTATTCTAGCATTTAGGTGCAATTTCTGAGACTACATACTTTGAAAAGCTAACTGTTGGTATTTAAAATCTGAATGAAAATCTGACTTATTTATACATTTAGGAAAATACATGCCATATGTGCATTATCTGTCCTTATTTGTTTGAAGTTATACTGATAAGGCTTAATCCTCTACCACGTTAGGCAAGTGTCCCTTGTTTATGTGGGTGGTTGCATCACTTCAAGTAAGACTGTTTGTAAGAGTAAGGGCTACTCCCGTGCGTGTGCAGTTTGCACATCTTGCCAAAAACCATTTGTTTGAATGTATTTACATGGTATTTTATACAAAGCTGACCTAAATCTCTGTAAAATGTATCACCTTTAAAAATACAAATATAGATATATATAAAAAAATACAAAAAATGTACTTAACATCTTTATTTGCAAACTCTTTGCAATTTTTAATCATGTTATGTGCCATGGAAAGTGTTCTATTTACTCATTTCTTTGGGGAACAACTGCTTTAAAAATGAAGGCATTATTAACAGTATTACTTATACATTGTTTTAACATGTAAAAATGATATTAATTAGTACTGTATCATTTATTTCTAGTTTAAAGCTGTAAGGAACAGTGCATTATTCTGAGACCTCCAAAAACATGCGTTCTTGAGCTTTCATCTGTAATAAAAGTGAATACTAGATTTTTTTAAAATGGTCTCTCTGTACAGACTGCTTTTACAATTGTGTGAATATGTATAATTAATTCTGCATTTGTAACCAAGAATAAACTTTCCAAATTGTAAATGTTCAGGTTCGTATAAATAGCTACTAAATAGCTTAATTGGACAGAAGTTCAAATAAAGATGAAGAACCCTTATTAACTTTTCCTCTACTGTCTTTTGTTACTTAAAAACTGACTTTTATGCGACAAGGGAGTTTTGCTTCCCAAGTTCAACACTGTTTAAGTGCATGACAATTTGTTTTTGGCTCCTCTCTATTACACAAAACTTTTAACTGCTCCTGTGTTTATCAAATTTGTTGCAGTTGCAACTAGAGATAATTATCAGTGACTGTGTTTAGTCAGCATCAGTCTGACAAGCCGGTAGCTGAGAAAGGCTCGCTCCCTTTGCTAGAGGGCTCTTAGCAGATGTTGTCTGTTTAAAATAACGTAAATAGGTACTTGGGGGGGTGAATTTGTTGTCTTTTAGACTGAGGTTTGATAAGTCTATGAACTCAGTTACAGGATATAACACCTGCAGTGGTGGAGGACTGCACCCACCCCAGGACGTCCCTTCTGGTTCTACAGCCTCCCATTCTTCTTAGTGATTCCAGTCTTCAACAGGAACGCCGTTCCTGTTGGAGCATGACCACTCTAATTGGTGATGGTGCGTCCCCCTTTAATCCTAACCCATTGCCCCTCCTAGGATATAGCTCTTCAGGAGTCAGTCCGGTCTGCTCATCCGTCACCAGCAAACACCGGAGGACAAATGTAAAGGGTTCGTTTCAACTTTTGTTTGGACAGTGGAGTATGTGTTGAGCAATTAATGCAGTTGTGACACCTAGGCCACCACCCTGAATTGTTTTGTAATGTAAAAGAAACTTCCTCAATTTATAAATACCTCTAAAGAGACTGTTAGGACTGTAAGGATATGAAGGGCCTTGAAAACACTATTACCTCTGAGGCACCTGGTACCAGAGAGGGATGTGGGGCCACACGCCACTGCCAGTGGTGCAATGCCACACGCTGCAGTTTGCACTCGGCTTTCAGGTAAGGTGGCAGCAGCCTTGCAGGACCCCTGCAGAGGCAGCCGCTCCCCCCAGCTCGTGCTACGGGAACTCTGAAACAAAGCCACTGCTCCTGATGGGCAAAGTCCAGCCTCCCAGATGGAGGAATCCGAAAGCACTGGTGAGTTACTGTGCTATTCTTTGCAAAACCAGCTCACTAAACAGCTGTTGTGGGTGGTTTGGGGGAGTGGCTGGGAGGACAGGGGCTGTTAGCTGTGATAAGGAAGGCGCGCTGTCACAGCCCTGCTGTAGCCCATGCAATGCTTGTATTCCTAGGGTAGCTTGTGCTAAAAGTCAAGGGAAAGGTGCTCCTTCCTGCAGCCCTGAATGCGGCACCGCTGGGTAGCACGCTCCGGGTGCGTGACCGGGCGGTAAGTACGGGGCCACCTACAGCCGGGCAGCGCTGCCGCGCTCGGCG